GCAGGATCCTGGGCAATAAAGAAAGAACACCTTAGAACGTTAATCATAGGCACGGATGCAATCCCCAAAGTAACACATCGCAAATCACAGCAGAGATATTTCTCATTATGGCAAGTTCCGTATCATCAGTAACACTGCTTGTAAACAAAACACCTCTAATCTACCCCATTTTCAGAGTCAGCTACAGCAAGCTCTGTACACCTAGACTGAAATCAGGTTTTAGTGCAAATGGACACTAATAAATACAAGAAAAAAAAAAACCAGCCCAAAGAGCATCTGGTCTTCACAAAGCAGGAAATTCTGTGAAGGAAAGTATGTCTTTTATGCACGGCTCTGAAACCAAGCTGCAGCTTAAACCTGGTGCTTCACACCACTTGTCAATGTCTTACGTCCCCCAAGCAAAGTGTAGTGTTAAGCTTAAGCCTCGGAGCTTAGAAAGAGACCATCAAAAACTCACATTCATCGGAAAGTGGCAGTGCTGGAAAAAAAACTTTGACCTTCTTTTACAGTCCTTTGTCTTACAATTCATCCTTTTCCAAATAGAGCTTGCTCAGCTAGTTTCTGGAGGGCTTAGTCTCAACGCTGCCACAACAGGTTACAAGACTCTAAATTTGTCAGGCTAGGGGGTATTGATGAAATACAGTTAATGCCTGGAAGACACAGCAAATGTCATGAGCACTCAAACAAGAATTGTTTTTGCATAATCAGCTTTTTCTCATTTGCTTTGGTATTTTGGAACATCTCCTGGCTTACAGCCATTTCCTCTGTTTTCAAAGGCTTTCTCTTAAGTGAGGTCTAGCAGTCTTGCTTCTACCTCAGACATCTGAAAAAGGCCTTTGCACCACTTGATGTATTTTACAGCCATCAACATCTGGTCCGATACATCCATCACCTGTCTGATACGTGTTGCATCAGTAGTGTTTCTCGCAGTCCTACAGCCTGTTGCTTTTAAGACAGATCAAGGGTACATACAAGTGCTTATTTACCTGTTTACCAACTGAGCTCCTCAGTAGCAAGAAGTCTCAAGCTAGTGCCATTTATAAACAAAGGAAATGGTGGGGTCTGTAACTATTCTGGCAAAACTTACCATGAACTATGCACAAACAAGCTGCATACAGTATTAACCTTGCAAGTAACATTCACCAGGATATTGCCAACATGCTGTAACATTTTTCCCATTGCTGTTCAGATTGCTATTTTTCAGACTACTCTCTGAAAATATCATCTTTTTCCTCTCATTGCTATTCAAGTTTCTTCCCACAACATTTAAAAGATTTTGAAATAATCTGAAAGAAGAATCTGGCATACAAGTCCAAACCTTGACAATCACAGGGTGCAAAACTGTCTCCTTACTCTACCATTACATTACCCTCTCCATAAACCCCCTACACTCACTATTCCATTAAACTGATCTCCACAGACAGAATCGAGACATAGGAATAGTAAAAACAAACCCAAAGCCCTTACGTAACGATAAGTATTTCTGTAAGGCTGCAATTAGGTATCCCTTTTACATTCACAGTTTGACCAGTAAGTACAAAAATTAATTCTGCTGTACTAATTTGTAACTTGTAACAGAAGTATCTGGTCCATTTATACAGAAAATATAATCTTTAGGGTATAGCTCAGAATTTATGCATCACACCATCATGCATTAACCTTTATTAGTCACCTCTGTCAAAATCAAACCAGCACATTGTTGTCCTTAAGTTATTGTATTTAGACACAAGTTTTTTCAGTGTATGTCACCTGGACGGGTGGCAGAACCAGTTATTAAGCAGGACCAGTTACCTTAGAACATGATGCTCAAGATGCCATTACTTGACCTAAGGATCTATAAAAATTTGTGATGAGCAATGCGTACAAAATTGATTAGAAGAAAGAGACAGAAGTTGTTACCTACAGTGCACTGAAAATTCATTGTCGTTTGCTCCACTCAAGAGAAAATTAAATAATTCCAGAAAGTTAGCTTTGTTTATTCAGTGGCTGATTTTCTGTGGCACCCTGAGCGTTGCCAGGATTTTCAGAGCGTTCATCGACGTTTTGTTTCCGACTGTGAAAATACTCTGTAATAATTTCAGCTAAAAATGCACCACTTGCAAGAAATCCGAATGTCTGTGAAGTGAAAGGAATGTATGATTTTAAAATATACAAACATTAACGGTATTCTAACATTGTTTGGAGAGATCTGCTGGCCTATTTACATACTTAACGCTTATACATTAAGATTACAGTCCTTAAATTGGTAGTTCCACTTACATTAGAAACAGATCAGAAGTCATAATTCTAGCACATTTAATGCAAAAGTTTCTACAGTTCTCATTCTCTAATTGTGTGAACCTTATAATATGTTCTAATCGGCCCTTAATATCTTAATTTTATTGCAAAAAATAGTTGTTAAAGCAGCATGGCATTGGTGGTATAGCAGAGTATTTATCCAAGAGATGGCTGCTGATTAAAGGGAGTAAGTGAGGAAGAGTAACACATGGAAGATGAAGGGAGATAAGATCTGCAGAGCCTAAGCAAGTCCTTACTGGGTCAGCAAGGCGGGGATGAAATGACATCTTTTTAATGACATTTCATTATTATTCATGGCAAGACAGCGGTAAGGAGAAGGTTGTTTTTAGCAGCTTCTTTCAAAAAAGAAAGGAACAGATGCATTGTTCTAACTTCTACCTAAATTTTACACAACGGGTTTGCCCCAAAGCAATTACACTAGTTAGTCTTAAATCATAATAGTTTTGGGTTTTCCAGCTCCAGAGAAAAACGTGGAAGACTCTGTACTCAAACCATTATGTCTGAATATATCAACATCACAGAAGATGACTATACAAGTGTGTATCTCTATATAGCCCATGCCGCCTGTGGGACAGCATTATTTTGCTTTCTTTTCTAACTCATTTTTTCTGATTCAAGAATAAAATCAAAATCCGATGTTTTAAACTCACATATTCACAATTCCAAGGTTATTCAAAAGAAGTGCCAAATGAGTGAGGAATTATGACATCCACAGCATCCCAAAGCCTCTTCAGTGCCTTGCCCTGAGCCTCTTCAGTGTTCCCTGGGAGACACATGCCCTGTTGCTCTTCTAACATTTCTTTCACTGAGGAAATGGCTGCTCTTATTGCAGCCTTTGCAAGCCAGCATTCTCCACACATGCTTTATAACGCCTGGCAAAAGACGTGGTTTCTTGCTGACTTTGTGAGGTGGTGGCATTACGAAAGGACAACTGAGAAAAAAAGTAGGCATTTCAGAGACAGGGTACAGAGAACTGGGGAAGCTGTGAGAGATGGCAACGTCAGAACAGTGACAGATGACAGTCAACAATGTGGAGCCAAGGCAGTGAAGTCTGAGGAACCCAGAAGCAAGCCACAAATGCTGGGGAGCTGCAAATGCACGCAGAGCTTTCCAGCAATCCTGAGGAATGCCTGCACTTTGGGTTTCCTATGGTAAGTTTCTGGAAGGTCCAAAATAGCTAATTCCTCCTGAAACATGGCAATGCACCAAGTTCTGTTCGCGGCCCAGTTTCTTCCCTGCAAATTGAGTGAAGTTTGAGGGCAGAGAAATTAACATACAAGATAAATACAAAGTAAATCATGCAATTTTGAGACTTACACATGCAGCGCTTTCAACAGCAGACCCAGAGCTGGTTGCAGCAAGCACTATTGACGCTATCAGAAAAGAGACACCTATGGCTGGCATGGTCCAAAAATTCTGCAAATATAAAAAAAATTAATGTTATAGAACTGTAGATATACTACCTGAAAAAGAAGAGGCATCATAACAGCAGCTGAGCTAATCTGTCAGCAAATTTATGCTTTGAAACTTTGATGCTAATGGAAGCTTCAGAAAAGATATTTTACAAGTACATTCCAAACAGCATTCAACATTATCAACTACTTAAAAGAGTCTGCATTACATACTCCCTTGTTTTTGTCATCTTTAAGTATTTAATTCATAGCCTCTAACTTTTTTCGCAATCAAATTCAAGCTCAGGTCAACCATGCCAGCATTATTCCCTATGTAAAACATTTGGGAAATCAGAAACCTGTAAGTAAATGTGCTCACTGAAATCTCTTACTATGCTCCCTTGTCTGTACCTTATCTGAACCTTCATGTAAAAAACCCTACTGTTTGCTCCAAAGACAAATAGGAACAGAGACTCATAAGATAGTACAATATTATCACTGACTTTACAGAGCAACTTTGTGCCACTGCTAGATCTTCTGACACTTTTATATGATAAACAGGCCAGTTACAAGTATCCTGCTGGCAGTAAACTGTGCTCCATATACACACATATATGCGATGACTATGCAGTAGCATTAGTCTGCATGAAAGACTTCCACACAAGTCCTAAAATCCTGCAGGTAACCAACATGACAATTTTGGAAAAGTTGTCAATATAAAAGGGGCTCTCAACTAATTTTTTAAGTATAAGCTACTTTAATCTACCCTTTAAACAGAGAAGGAGTTTCATTCTGCATAGCCTTTTTACTCCACAGCAGTCTTTAAGCACTTACAAGAAATTGTTTGGTTGGGTTTTAAAAAAAAAAAATTCCTTACCACTCTCTGTACTTTATCTTCCCCAAATGTTTCATATACATGAGTGCAATACACACACAGGATCAGGAGGCTCAAAAGAAAGGCAGTGCAGCTTGTGAATTCAAAAAAGTAAAGTCCACCACATTTGATACAATCCTCCACAATTTCTTCACAAATAACAGCCAGAAGAGAGAGAATCTGCAAACAAACAACATGCTTGAGTTGGATTAAGTCTCTAGTATCTTCAGCAAATAGACGTCTCCGATACGAACACTAATGAAGACGGCTGTAAGGAGAATCCTCAATCTACAAAGAACCCAGTAAAATTCTGCACTCTTTTCTTTCAGGCAGAAACAATTCTATAGGGACACGGTTTACACTTGCTGTTCAAGCTAGTCAATAGACTACACTCAGGTAAGCTGAGCACACACCGCCAAATACAAGCTTCTTGATTAGACAGCCAAGATTCCCGACTTGTGGTTTTGTGCAATTGCCAGCTGGGAGCAGACGAGGCAGGCAGCATGGAGAGCACACATCCTGCTCAGAATAAGCAAAAATGCTGTTTCTCACCACTTAGAACTGCACTTAACTTTAGATGTCTTTGGGTTCACGGCAGAGGGGGCTATTGGACATCACTGACCCAGTCAGCTGTGTCCCTGAAAGCTCACACCTGACGTTACCCCCCTTGATAAAATTTCAGAGAAAGCACATGTAGCTAATAGCTCACCTGCCTGTGACCCAGTAACCCCAGCAGCTCAGCTATACTTGTAGGAACCAAACCTTAAACTATGTTTAAGCTATGTTGGACAGTGTTTAATCTGTGCAGAAGCTTATGTTCACCTTCCTGCCACAGTACATTTTGAGCAAAGAACATGAGTTAATTTCTGTACAGTCACATGCATCTGCTCATGGATTTTCTACTATTTTATTGTATAAGAAAGAATATTGCTTTATTTAAAATGTTCTCTCATTTTGGCCACTTCTTGCTAGTTTCCTTCTTCCCATAAAGCTGACATGGGATTATAGATCCTTGTAGTAAATTCACCAAATTAAAACAAAACCATTAGTAGGAATAAGACTTGGTCATAAAGTTGAGACTGATATAAGGATGATGATCATATTTTTGTAAGAGGATATGGGCAATAATGAGGTTGACGGTTCTTTAAAAAAAATTAAAAATATCAAACTCTAAAATACAGAATTGTTCTTGGAAAATAACCACCAGCCTTTGGTTTCAGTTTTCTGACAGTAAAAAGAACAACAACAATTTAGCAGGTGGGAACTGTAAATTCCCCCTGCTAAGCCAGACCTCAGAAGGGCACTTCATCATGTTTTGAAAACACTGCGATCATATAAAGTAAACAGGATCTCAGAAAAGGAAAGAACCCAAGCTGGGAAACTGCAATATTACTATCAGGCCTCCACATACTTCCCTTCTCTCCCGCAGCAGCTGGCAAGGCAAACTTCTCCGCAGCCCTCGCACCTAAAACAGTGACTACAATGGCCATCCCAGGAATGTTTTGAACTCTGAATTTCCAATTTTTAAGTTTTTTTTTTTTTCATTTCAAAAGATTTCCTTACAGCTGCATCCAACAACTTTCAATTTCACATTTTTACAAGGTCAGCTAACAGGCGAGATACGTTTTCATGTGCAGTTCTCTCTCTTTTTATCGGCACTGAAAACTGAATGCCATCACTTTCACGTGGGATGAAAAAGAACAGAAAGGAAATAAACCTGCCCTTAAAAGAATTTATAAGCGCAGATAACCATAATATGATCTAAATAATTGAAAAAACCCTCTCTGCTGAGTGTACGAACAACTAGAAAAGAATGCCACTCAAAAAGTAGCTATAAAGGGTTCAGGGTCAAACAAATGAGATTCACCGAGCAGAGTCCTATGTGCGACTTGTCCAAGTCAATATTCAATTTTTTATTAATAAGCTGAATAACAGAGTACATCATTACATTAAAAAAAAAGCTTTGGCTTGGACAACTTTAATCAAAGTAGCGTATCAACAGCACATTTATAAGCTGCCAGAGAGTTCTGCCTGGGTTTCTTAACTTGCTTCTCGATATCACTATGAGAAACTAAAGGGATTACTCTGTTGTCCTACTACAAAAAAAAAAAGGAATAGTTTTAAATACCACTAAAAGAGTAGTTCCTAACTTCAGTTTATATAGCTACAGCTATGCAACACAGCAAGAAGTTTTTTCTAGTATTAGCCAGAAGACTATAATCTCTATCACTCATCTGCATTTTAGTAACACCCCACTATTAGATAACAGTATAAATACATGAGCCACTTCAAACAAGCCAGGAGATTCCACATTTCATTCAGCTTCCCAAGATCAGTTCCGCTGGAGATCCAACTTTGTCCATCAGCGTTAGTCCTGGGATGAGCACAGACCTCTACAGGCTTACATGAAGCAGCCAAAGCTCCTTGTTGCATTTTTCTATCTGCCTTCTCCACACTGAACCCATGGAGAATCCCTAGCAGCCAATACCAGAATGTCGCTACTGCTTTTGTTTGAGCCATCAGTAAGGAGCGAAGAGGGGCAGCTCAGTAGCTCCTCATTTTCCTGAGCGCTAAACCTCCCCGGCCGAGTTCCATTCACCCTGAAGCCCAGGGTAACACCTGAAGGCCGGAGCAGGCAGCCACCCCCTTCCATCCCTCTCACCCGGAGCCCTGCACCGCTGCAGCTGCGGTGCCAGTGCGGGTGGGCAGGGGGAGGTGACCCAGCAGCAGGTCAGGGCACGGTTCAGAGCACGCACGGGCTGCAGAGACCTGCACGGGGACACAGGCAGGCTGGCACCAGGCTGGCACACCGGGCTTGCTGGCTCCTGCAGGAAAATCCACACCTCGCCATATGCATGCACTGCTTGCTGTAAGCGGAAAAGCATCACTGGAGATGCAGGTTTTAACTTTTTTTTTTTTTTTTTTTTAATACTAGTGCTATCTGTCTGTACCTACACCAGAAACTAAACTTCTTCATCTGTCCCTTACCCCAAGAAGTCATTCATTGATATTGTCATTACTGTTGGAAGTTTCTACACAGGTGTCAAGTTTCTAAAGCAGATTTAACAAGTGAAAGGCTATAAAAGAATGCTTCAAAAATAAAGCAGATCAATGAATTTTCCAACAGGCCTGTGAAAATGCTCAGAAGCGGTATTTCCAGTACAAAAATCTTCTAGTTCAGATGGGTGCACATATTAATTCTGTTAGTCTCCACAATCAGGGCCACTATAGGAAGTGAACAGCTCAGAAAAAGAGCAGATGCTTAAGACTGAATTACACTTTTCCTTTCCAGTTAGGGCATTTTGGTTAAAGTAAAACAGTAGTGGATGGTAAGTATTTCTGCTTAAGAATTCATTTCTACCTCAATCTTGGCACAGTATGTGCTGTGCCATTTACCTTCCTGCAGACTTTGAATCAGTCATGGACTAACAAAAACATTCCACCTATATAGAAACCCCAAACAATCCAGAAACCCACTCAATAAGCATGCCTCCCAGCATCCTTTTGGCAGTTACCTTTTCCTTATTTCATTTCTCAAAAAGCTTTAAAAAACAGGCTAAGACTACAACGTATGCCATCATTAATCAGAAGAAAAACATTTCCAAGTTCTAGAAATCGGTTTTCTGCAGGTGATCTCACAGTATTTCGTAAAACATATCAGAAGAAAAACATTTCCAAGTTCTAGAAACCAGTTTTCTGCAGGTGATCTCACAGTATTTTGTAAAACACCTGATCACTACTGTAATGAAGACAGCTGACTTTCTGAGTGCAATGCCCTGTTTAGCAGTCCACACGAGTGATTACCAGTGCATAATCCCAGTAACAACTACTATTGTAACACAAGGCTAATATATGTTAATGACCATCACTGGCATTTCCAAAAATCAACTTTCCCAAAACATGAAAATTTCTCTTCCTGGAGATACTGGGACTTCCACCTTCAGTAATTTCTGGGGCACATTTAAAGTGTTTTGACCAAGAACTACAAGATCTGTGCATTTTGGTAACGGGAAGCAGAAAGGGGGGGACAAACTGTTGGAAATTAGGAGGATGAACGACTACAATTCCATTTTCTTTTTCCTCTCATTGAAGGACAGGTACTGTCCATAAACTGCTAATTCTTTAGCAGCATATCAAGCAGCCATCCATCCTGTTTAAGGTAATCATAGTTTTCCTTTTTCCTACCTAGAAAGCTTGTTAAATTATGCCTCTGTTCAGGTAAATAAACAGTTTAAGATTCAGTACACCAATAAATTTGCATATTAGTGGGCGAACCTACTTATATAAATGATCTGCTTGTCTAGGAGCAACGGCCAGCAGATCTTACTTTATTGTTTTCCAGTAGACGAAGTAAAAGTTTATGTCCTCTTATATTTAAAGCATTCTTGGGTGTGATTTTTTTAAACACTCTTAGAAAACATTATTTTTGGCAGTGTTACCGTTACTTTACCAGCACTCAAGATTTCTGCTTGAGGGTTTTGACTGTGTGCAAGACAAAGTTTAAAAACTGAACGTCCTCTTTTCTGCAATGGTGAAGTAACGAGAAAGAGTTGGAAATCACCTACAATTCCCATGACCATGAGACATCCAACTAAAAAGCCACTTTGTTGGCTGGAAAATGTACCCTGACACACACTCAGTCAGCTGCCCTTTCCCACTGTCGGTTTCACTACCTCCCTGCCAGTACTTAAGAATGATGCTCCTTGCATCTTTATTGACAGCTGTCACACTGGCACATTTTGGAAGAGCCCATCGCTGAGCACGGGGTCTGAATCACACACCCAACTGCTGAATGCGTTTAGGAATACCATTACACGTAGCAAAAAGCAAGCAGAATATAAGCTTTTTATTTCCTGGCAGGGACAGGACCGCCCAACATGAAGTGATGCACTGCAATGTCTCATACAAAAAGCCACCGTCAACACTGTACCCTTCTGCTGCAATTTTCTACCATGGATCATGGGAGAAACTAGTGCCCCAATTTTAGCACAGGCGGTGCAGCGTGATAAAGTTACAAACGGGCTGCAGGGACGGCAGGAGAAGGGGTCCAGCCCCGATGACCCAGCAAGCCCTTCCCAGTTCTACTGCCCTACCATGAGGTTCAGCCAAAGGCTTCAACCTCCTGTTTTCATCCAGCGTGGCCCTCCCAAGAAAATACTAAGTTTCCTGTGAGGTTTCCC